AGAGAGAGAGAGAGAGAGAGAGATAGAGAAAGAGAGAGGAAAGAAGGAGAGAGGGAGGGAGTAAGAGTGAGTAGAAAGAGAAAGAGTGAAAATGCTTGTTTGAGCAAAGAGAAATATATCGACACAATAACTGTCATTTACTGCAGAGAAGAAGAAGAAGCAGAGGAGGAGGAGGATGAGGAGGGGGAGGAGTTGCAGGATGTCTGATTCCTTTTGAGAACTTTGACCATCACCCCTACTTGAACTTCCTCTCGCAAGGCCTATAGTTTACACAATGGTGAAAAATTGGATAATGTACAGGATTTTAACAAACGAACCCCACAACGATGCATAAATATAGGCTGAACTAGGCATTAAACTAAATAAAATAGAAGCAACAGAAATGTGGTTTCTTAGGAGACTGGTAAGAGTATCGTGGAAGGAATAAAAATCAAATGACGTAGTGCTTGATGAAGCCCTCGTGGGACGCTCACTGTTAAAAACCATTAGGAAACGAAAAATGTAGTTTTTAGGCCACCTGAATAGATATTAGGGTCTTGAACATCTAGCTCTCACTGGCAAGATTGAGGGCAAGTGAGACAGGAGAAGGCCCAGAGCAACCTACTTGGGGAACCTGAACAAGTGGGTGACAAGGAAAGATCAGGGAAACGTAGCTTTTTTTAAGAGCATTCGAGCAAAGGAATGAATTGAGAACCATGATCACTGATATCTGTTGCAAATCTGGCACTGAATGATGATGATGAGGCACTAGCTTTTTTGCAGTCTGAGGTTTTGCTTTCAAAACTTTGAATTTTTTTTTTTTTTTTCAAAATAGGAATTCTTTCTTCTATCATGAAAATCTGCAGTTTTATGAATCCAATAAAAGCTGCATCCCCTAAATAAAAGTAAATGCAACATTTCCACAACACTAGCCAGGGTAGTCTACATTCAAAAGATACTTATATTATGTCAATAGCATGGCACTGAAAAATTGAAAGAATAGTCAACACAAAGACGTGCAGCTAGTTAAAATGTCACTGAAGTAGCTGAAACTGCATTTTTGAATCAGTCATCAAAAGTCCATTTCAATGTGATGAAAAGTTTGATGCTACATCATCTCAATTTTAAGACACATTCAAAATCTAACAGTAAGCATCTCCTGTCACACTGTTTTAATCATACAATGTGTTCAACTAGAGTGCAATAAAGTTCAGTGCATTTATGTATGCGCATATTACCAAAGGTAATCTAGAGTGCCGCATACAGTTACGCTGTGCTACTCCATTGAATTTAACTTTTCAGATAGAGATTGGTTCAGCCTATTTAATGATGAGCCAGCAAAAAAAAAATTAAAAGTGTATCAAAATATAACTTTTAGTCATCTTGTTAGCAACTAAAATTGGACTATAATTATAATAAGCTGCAAGATTAAAAAGGCACCAATGTACAAAGACTACTTTTCCGATCCAGTAGCCATCTGAGTTCAAGCCCTTTGGCCTAACAAATACATAAACAAAACCACAATCCCGGAAAGTCCCAGGACTTCCGATTCACACTTCTTTGCAGGTGAACTTATATGATTTCAATAAAAACTCTTTGCAAAAGCAGCAACAGTAACAGGAGAGCCTTGGAAATGGCCATAGACAGGATCAATCAACAGAGTGATGCATCCAACTCAGTCGCCATCTTCACTGACAGTCAATCGCAATGCATGGCACTCATGAAAACATCACCATCCCTCTACCAAAGGCGACTACGCAAAAATAATACAACACTTCAACCCAAGATCCAGTGGATCTCAGGTCACTGCGAGATCCTCGGCAATGACCTCGCTGACAGTACTGCCAAACAGGCAACAGTGCGACCCAGGCCGCAAATCGCATGTATGGAAGTGAGTGTGCCCAGATAAAACTGACCACCAAAGACCCTCCGATATCTCACACACAGACGAAGAAAGTATACGGGGCAATATCCACAAAATGGGATGCGCAAATTAGGTCCCGCAGAGACCAGTCACTACTGGCAAATATCAGGACTGGTTACTTCTCTGGGCTGTGGGCCTACAAATATAGAATCGACAACACATCGAATCTAATCTGTCCACTGTGAAGTGAGGAGCCCCAAGATTTGGAGCACTGGCTGCAGAGATGCCCCCCCCCCTCAAGGAGGTCCAGCACTGGCATCTTTTTGGGAGGTTAGACTGCCTCACTCACTAACCAAGAGAGGTAGCGGCCCTGGCGAAGAGCACATTCTCCGGGGCTCCAAACAATTCGGAAGGATAGGCTCCCACATACACACACACAGTATCATTCTTCAATTTCCCAAAGTTCAGAACTAAGAGGAGTCCAAAACATGTTCCCATCCTTTCTGGTACATTTCTTCTTGGCCCGGCTCGTAAAGGAGAAGTAAGTGTTCAGCCTTCAATATGACCTATGCAGCATTTAACAGGGCATTGAACTTCAATGACAACATCGGTCTAAACATATTGTTGTCCAAATTCATTGAATGCAGGGAAAATCATCACAAAATATATGAGATTTTTGTCTGTCCGGGAAAATTTTAACTAAAGGATTAAAATGATTCACAATTTATCTCAAAAGATAAGAATCGGCTACTACTTGCTATATATAAAAGATTTTATTCCAAAACCAAATGTCTCAATAAATTTACACCCCCTATGCCAAACAAAGTCAAGTAAACTACATTCCTATTCATTAGCACAAAATACATAATTTACCTGACAATTATTTTCAGATTAGCATAGCTTACCTGATCGCGATGATAGTATGATGTGTTCAGAAATCCACTGTATCGCTCAGCAATGAACTGGCCTAACTCATACTGTTGTTGTTTTCCTATCTGATACAAAATAAATATAAATTCACTAAAACATTTGCAGAATGATGAAATATGGGGGAGATGTACTACAATTTCTATTAAGGAGAGGCACTTTAACATGTTTATGATAACAAAGCATTAGAACCCAGCAAGAGAAGATTTAACAAAAACAACTGCCAAACCAGTATCAGTATCCATCCATGTGCTAGAAAAATAAAAGTCATTAACAATTTCTGAATCAAACGATAACCATGATGGTAGGAAGTTCAACACACTAAGAGGTATTGAAAAGAGGTATTGTAGCTTCTCTCCGATGAGAGAAAAGTAGCAAGAGAAAAACTGTTTTACACTGCTTGGTATCTACTCTCACTACTTTCAGCACCAGTGGAAGCAAAAACTTCAGAAAGAAACACAGGAGGAAGATTTCTAACTTATAATTCCTAAAAACTAGGGTGTTAACTGACAAATTTCCAAATTTACAAGAAGATAATTCCAGTACCGGACAAGCCTACAATTTGAAGTATTACGACATTCCTATGACCCATCACAGCCTACACAAACAGAGAGTACATTAGGATACATATAGAGAGATAGGTACAGACAGACAGACAGACAGACAGACAGACAGACAGACAGACAGACAGACAGACA